AATTAAAATAGGAATTAATCTAAAAATAAGTCAAAAGAGTAAAATTTAAAAAAATTATATGAAATATGTTATAAAGAATTTCTATTTATTTATATGATATCTCGACATTATTTAGTTCCCTTCGCACACAAGATATGTTAACATAATTATATTGAATTGTTTATTTAATACACATATGATATGAGCTTATTAGGCCATTATCATTTTCTACTCTTATCTAGCCTTTTTATCCTATTTATCTTTAGGAATAAATAAGAGTTATGTTGTAGGAAAAATAATTTGATTATGTTAAGATAAGACAAAACAAAATTATTGAACAAAGTGTCTTATCATATTTTTTTTATTATTATTATTTTTTTATCTTTTAATGTTGCATGACATCATGTAACATGATAAAATAAAGACCCTTATTTTTATCGTATCACATCCACCAAACGAGCTCGTATTATATTTCAATGGTCACATTTTATCATCACATTATGCATTATTGAAAATTCTCGTGTAATAAGTAAATTTTAATCGGAGCGTACTACATGTTTTGTATAATAATTATGCATATATTTCCAAGTATATATTAGTTCTATTGTTAAAGTGCATGAAATGATATACTATGTCATTGTTACATCATCGTATCAATATCTGCGGTGGAAATGTGAGAACAACTAAGGAAAGCTTCATATATGCGGAACTTGATATACTTCCCTAGACTTTGATTTGTAAATATACTCTAGAGAAAGAGATGGGGGAAAAAAAGTAAAAATCTTTTTCTGGTGAGAAAAAAAAACAAAGATTGTAGTATTGGTGATATTCAAGATTTTTTTTAAGGCTACGTTGTACTATTTGTAGTCGGGGAAGGTAGAAAAATATTTGTGGTAGTGTTCTTTAAAATAAAAATAACAACGTCACTTTTTTTTGGAAAGTAAAAAAAAAAATTAAACTATATACTGTAATTTATTGTTAAGGTAAAGGAAGTTGATTTATTGTTCTTGCAAGTAAAAACATCATGAATTACAAGAAAATTTCAAACTCTTACTTCGAATGAAATTGGTTTCCCTTATTAATAATTAATAGAAAAAAATCACCAATGCCCATGTGATTTGCTTCAGAATCACCTATGTCCCTGTGTTTTATAAAAAATAAAAAATCACAAGGAGATATGTAATTAAAAAGCATACCCTTCTGGATATATGTGATAAAAAAAACCACAGAACCATAAGTGATTATGGAGTAAACCACACGGGTCTAATTAATATAAAGAAGAAGAAAAAAGGTAGGGGAATGTTTTTTTGGCTGTAAGCGGTAAAGTTAAGAGAGGAATTTGAAACTGAGGAATCAGAATACGGCGTTTCATCCTCACATTGTGTGGTCTTGCGAAGAAGATACCTTGCGGATTTGAAGATAGAAAACGAGAGAATATCCTTGTCTTCCAAAAGAGATTTAGACTTTTCAAACAAAAAGATCTGAAGGTATGGTAGAGCAATATTCCCTATGATCTTTAACGGTAGCTTATATTTCTATGGGATTCTTTGGGGGTAAGCAAAAAAGAAGATAACGACTTTGATTATCTAACAACTTATAGGTGCATATGCTTTATACCTTCTTCTTTGTTTTGTTGGGTAAACATGCTTTAAACCTTTTTAGTAGAAGATAAAAAGTGTTTATAGTGTATAAAAAAAGTGTTTAGTAATTTTCATAAAAAAAAAAAGAATAAACTGCTTGAATTAAATATATTTAGCATAAATTACCAAAGCAGAAAATAATTGACATGTCAAAATTTTGTTTAACTGATCATAGACTTGAAAAGAAAAAAAAAATCATACTTTTTTAATTAAGAAAAAATGTTTAAAGTGAAGGAAGTTTTTACCATTCCAAAAAGATATTCATTCTTAAATTGAGGATAAAAAAAAATTATAAAACCTTTTCATGGCTGTCATAAAACCTCATTGTGTTGTACTCCCGTTTGGATGAGCTTTTAAAAAAATGACTTTTTATGCATTGCTTTTTTCAAAAGAACTTTTTCTAAAAAGTAAAGTTATTTTACGTTTGGATATATGATCTGAAAATCACTTTTACATAAAAAAAATTTATTTGGATGTTAAAATAAATAAAAAACACTTTTTATATATAAAATTACATTAAAGGAGAGATAAAATAAGGATAAGGAGAGATAAAATAGAAATGATAAGATGAGGTTAAAATTGTATCTTAAAAATTTATATTATCTTATTTTCAAAAAAAAAAAATATTATCTTTTAATTTCTGCTTTTTTTAAAAGCAACTAACTATTGGCTAAAAAAAAGCAACATTTTAACTTTTATTTTTTAAAAAAATTGTTATCAAACATCTAAAAATTCTCAAAAGCACTTTTATTTTTAAAAAAGCAACTTTTTTAGAAATTAAAGCCGATTCAAACAGGCACTTTTAGATATTAATGGTAGATTGTCCATGAATCCTTTTTTTTAATAAAAAAATTAAAAGGAATTAGACGTCGGTATCTCACCCAGGGTCAGAAAAACCACAACCTCTTTTAATTAGCAAGGGAGAGTAGAAAAGCACACTGCTGAATATTTTATTTTATGTCTCTCTTGGCACTGTAAGTTGGTCGTTTATAATTTCTTTTGTCTTGAACTAATTTCAAAAATTATTGATCTCAAGGAGAAGTTTCAAATTAGAAAAGGAGTAGGTTGAAGTGAAGTAGGGTTTTTATATTCACATCCCACCTGCAAGTCACCTTTTTTGGGACAAGGCTAAGAATTTTTATCAAACTTACATATTTTTAAGACTAAAGTATCATTTTCTTGCCTGATTATTTACTCCAAATAGACTTGGTTCCAATAAAATAAGATATAGCATAATTCATTGGTTAAGTCTTTTTTTTTTTTTTTTTTTTGTAAAACCATTGGTTAAGTCTTTAAATGTAAGGAATTGTGGAGAGTAATTTAATAGAGTTTATGATAAAATAAAATAAACTGCTGGAAATTTAAATTGAATTTTTTCTGGTTTTCTGAAATCTGATATGGAGATCGTAAAGAACTTATTTTTAAAATATATGGAATTCCTATTGAGTTTGAAGAACATTTTGAAATCTTTAATTTTTTATACTAGAAGAAGTTTCTCAAAAAAATTAGAAAAAAGAAACCGAAATTATCTTTAAACTATTTTCTGCATGATTAACTTCCAAAAAAAATAAAAAAAATCCAAGTATTGTTGTAATTTTCACCGCAAAGTGTTGACAACAATCATATATTTTGAATGGAAAAGTTCAAAATCACTTACCTCCTATATTTATTTTATTATTATTTATTTTCCTGTGATTTTTTTCATCCGGTCCATCTTGTAACTCTGATAATAATTAAATGAGGAAGGTTATAGTTACAACTTTTTTTTACAACCTCTTACAACCATATCTTAACACCGTTGATTTTCGCCAATCAATGGTTATTATTTTCGCAAATTAAACTTTTAATTAATTATTAATTCACAATAAATGATAACTATTGATTGGCGAAAATCAACGGTGTTAAGATATGGTTGTAAGAGATTGTAAAAAAAAAGTTGTAAGTATAACCTTCCTCTAAATAAATTAAACTATAAATTTTACCCTTATAAAAAGAATCATTGTAGAGATAATAATTTTATACTGCAGTGTTATTTTTTTCATCCAATTTTGATTGTTTTCTAAAATTTATACCAAACTATAAAAAAATTCTATCTTAAAGATGTTGAGAAAAAAATTACAATGAAAACTGCAAGTTAGAAAATAATTTCAATTTTTCAACAAGACAATATTCACAACATTGTTAGTAAGAATAAATGCCTAGAACTATTATTTTTCTTTTTAAGATTTTTTAATAAAATTGACTTGTATTTTATTCATAATTATTGTAAGCAAGAGTTCAATTTAATTCATGTTATTTGTATTTTAACTCAATCGACTCCTCACTTAACCCAGTTTATAATAAATGAGGAGCTTAAACTCATTTATTTGAATTTTTTATATTTTCATGTTTTATTCATAGTCAATTCGCTTTTCATCTATGCATATTTTCTTATAGTTTTGAGCGTAATGTAATGTTGGTGAGTAGTATACATTAATAGAGCAATCAACTCGTTAATATATTAGCATTTTTTCCAATATTTTTATTTTCTTTGTTACCTATCTCTGTCTCACATTTTTTCATTTTAATTTTTAAACTCAGATTAAAAAATATATTTACATATAAATTGATTACATAAATAATATTTAATTTTATTTATTAAATTTAAGATATCAATACATTTATCAAACTCAAGTCAAGTCAGTTTTATTGAAGATATATAAATTTGTATAAGAGGAAAATAATAATTCTAAGTGTGCATTCTTACTAACAATATTGTGAATATTATCTTATTGGAAGATCGAAAATTAGTTGCTAATTTGCAGCTTTCGTTGTAATATTTCTCTCAACATCATTGGGATGAAATTGTTTTTGACAATTTGGTATAAATTTTAGAAAACAATCAGAGATGGATGAAAAAAATAATATTGCAGTGTAAAATTCTTATTTCTACAATGATTCTTTTTACAAGGGTAAAATGAATAGTTTAATTTAACTTTTAACAGAATTAGGAGGTGGACTAAATGGAAAGAAAATCATAAAGGGTGAAATGATAAAAATAAAATAAAAAAATTAACCATTAGGGGATAAGTGATATTTAGAGAAATCATATAGGGGTTTTTTAAACTTTTCCCAATTTTGAAATAATAAAATTGTTGAAAGTAGTTTTCAGAGGGAATTTTCATCAGATTCATAAATGGTGGTCAGATTAAGGTGATGGGAGATTTTGGGCAAAAGTTGTATATTCTGTGTCGTCGAATTGGATTGTTACATATTCATTAGATCGAAAACAAGTTCAAACTATGTACCCAAAAAAAAAAAAAAAAATTCAAACTGGGCTTATTGCATGGATATAAAGATATCCACTAGGCCTAGTTTGGATGGCTCAGGGTGTTGGAGGCCCATAATTTCTGACACATTTTGACACATAAAGATATCCGCTAAGTCTGTGGAGTGTATATGTAAGCAGAATTGCAGTAATAAATTGACACCAACTTCACATTTTGACACCAACTTCCAAGTTTATAGAGGTTTCGAAAAACTTGTACAGCATTAATAAGATTGACAGCGTACTGTCACAGTCCTCAACGTATTATTACTAGAGGATTGCTGCACTCAGGCATTAATACCTAACATTTTCCATTATTTTTCATTCTTCTGTTTTTTTCTTATATATTATGGAAATATTGTTTTTCATGTTATAGAAAAAAATTTATCTCCTGCAACACACACAAAAGTGAGTAAGACCTGTTTTTTCTTAATGAGTCTCACCCATTTTTTTATATGTTGCATGAAATAATTTGTCTCATGTAACGTAAGAAACAATATTCTAATATATTATTATATATTATGAAGGGTGTTTGTTGCTCTGTTTAGATTACGACATCCTCCTTCCACCGGAACCACCTTGTCGTTGACAATTGAAATAGACAGCAGCAACTGGTAATCCAAGATTATAAACTTCTGCAAAATCTCTAGTAATGAAATTTTGGCGCCATCCTGGAGCAATGATTGTGTGTCTACCCATTTGACGAAACAACACAAATACAAAACGATGAATCCCTGAAGTTGGTCGTGGACTTTCATAGCTCACAATCTCTTGTCCTATATATAAATTCAATACCATCCATGAGTAATAACAATTAAATGACAATATATTTTTGTTTCTCTCAACTCGGTCAAAAACTTACATTCTTTTTAAATATTTTTAAGCATAAAAAAAAACGATCATAATAAAAATGATCATCCTGACAGCATCGAGTTCTTAGTATAAAGTTTTTAATACTATCATCTAAAGGTGTGTTAAACTTCTAACTTCTAACTTCTAAGTAAAGAATTATATACTTGTTTTATTATTAGTATTATTATTAAATTTCTTTACAAATTTAGTAAGGGATAATTAAATGATAGTATAAACAACTCTTACATTGACAATAAATAAAAATTCAATTCAATTAACTACCATGTCAAACCTCATACGGTTTAAGCAAGAATAAATTTGTAATTGAACTATTGATATGTTCATTTATTTGAAAGACATTTTTAATGCTAATTTTTAGGCACTTTGATTGAGTACAAAGCATTATATAATTTTTCAATTCAACATGCATCCTCTACACATTAGATTTAGTTTTTCGAGAAATTCACAAATTAACTAAAAGTTTGTATAATACATATTTATTTTTTTTGTATAATACATATTAATCTCATGCAGTTTACTAATCTAAAGTATTTTCTACTCATTTAATTTTCCCAAAAATTAATATATGATATAACTTTTAAACAAACGATATCAAAATATCAGCAACTTAATCATATATTTATTATTTAACTTTTAAAGTTTAACATGAAAATAAAATATTTATCTAAGTATAATTAAATTATTCCATTAATTCAATTTTATTTTCAAAAAAAGAAATTATAGTTCAACTGCAGATATAAAAAATAATAAGTATATTGTTCCTTACTTATTTTTTTGTTTTTTTGTTTTAAAAAACTAATAAGTAAGGAACAATATACTTTTGTTTTTACTCTTCATATATATTGTGCAATGAGCTGTTATATCGTAAAATTTAGTTCATAAAAGGGATGACAAATTATAATATTGTCCATCCTTTTTCTGCTTCTGAAAAATCATGAATACTGCAAAATAAAAGGGATGAGGAATTGAATAAGGAAGTTAGATTTTATTTATACTTTAACATATAATTAAGTTTGGATAGCAAGCGCGTATATAATAGAGTTATAAGTTATAACCAAATAATTAAAGGGAAAATAGTTTGCTTTTTAAAGGAGTTAAATTATGTCTTTTTATTCCGTTATAACTATGTATTTTGAAGAGTACATAATTATAATATTAAAATTGTATTTTAGTTAACGTGAAAAGTAAAAAAAATATAATTTTAATATTATAACTATCTATTCTCATAAATACATAATTATAAAAAGGTGAAAGGATATAATTTAAATATTTCCCATAATTAAAAGATCAAAGATTAAAAGGAAAGAAGAGTCAGAAAAAAAAAAAAGATAAAAAAAGTTGTGTACGTACCGAAGGTTGCCCCTGTAGTCGCTGGAATATTGGTTACCAACCTACGCATCCATTAAAAAAAAAATAGTTATTTTTGTTTACTAAAAAATGTTTTTCAATTTATATAATATCCATACAATCTTATTTGTGAGTCATAAGCTAATAGCTGCACTAACTCTTTTTTTTTTTTTTTCCAAAAATCTCTTAGAAGTTTTAATTTTAAAAACTAAAGGAGAAGAGGGTGTGGATTGATTTTTACAAAGTGATACATTTTTAAATCGATACAGTAAATCACCAGTGAAATTTGTTTTTAAAGAGAAGCAAAAGAGACTTTGAAAACTGTTTAACATATAATAAATTATATATTTATTTTGCAAATATATATTTAAAATGACCAAGCACCTATTGCATGCATGTGCATAAAGTCGTAAAAGGCTGGACAGTCCCAACTATTTTTGTTTAATACATTTTATCTTAAGAAAAGCCCTACTTAAACGTGAAGTATGAAAGTGAACACTAAACACGTACGTGGATGAACTGGCATGAGTTTGAGCTCTGGTTACATTATATATGTGGATGACATTGTGTTTATTAGAAATGAAAAATGATTGAGAAATTACAAACGAAACTATAAAGAAATATGAAATGAGTAACATGGGCTACTAAGACAATTTTTTGACATGAAACCATATCAAGCAGATAATAGAATGTTTATTTGTCAAAGAATAGTGCAAAGAATGTTCTAAAATTCTCAGAATATTTGGAAGAATCTTACATTAATAGTAGACGTACACAATATTACGCATAGACATGGCGAGAGAAGGGTACTTTAATTACTACTTACCAGTGGAGATATTCCCTCATATTTGGGTCACTTGGGCTAGGTGCATCAGGGTCCACCATGACCTGAAGATCATGAGTGCATGCCATAATTAAGCTCACCACCGGTATAACTCAACAACTCTAGAAAATGAAGAATGTAACTAAATACTGAAGGATGATCAATTGAAGATTTTACCAGAGTGTATAGTGTCCTGAGGTCATCTCCACCAATATCAACTCTTGGTTGGTTAACTATTTGGGAGGGTTTGAGCTCACCGCTATTGAAGACTTCTTTGTTATTGTTATAGACAGGCCTCAGAGACACAGAACTTGTAAAGTGATCCAAAACATCTCCTATTACACGTCCAACAACAAGAGGGTTCATTGTTCTGGGCATAATACTCATGAACAGTACGTACTCCTTGATTTGCTCCGTGTGTCCAATTCCAATGGTGGCCTTGCCTTGCCTTTTATATATGCCTTGGTATGTGAGTTTATCAATAGATTCTGGTTTTTTTTTTCTTTTTAATCCTTTTTTCTATTTATCTTCTATGTTTGTGACATATATTTTGGAGAACAGAATTGTTGAGATATATAGTCCCAGATTGGTTGTATATAGTCCCACATTGATTATATGTGCAACTAATGTGGAATTTATATATCTCAACAAGAATGAAGGAGACACAATCATTGTTGTAAAAAACGCTATTAAAACCGTAGAAACTTACGTTTTTACATTTTTATTGAAATTATGTGTAAAAATGTAAGTAAAAATATTTTTCAATATACATATAAATATAAGTTTTAATATTTTTACACTCAATATAAACAAGTTGTATACATTCACTTCAAAAATGACATCGTTTTAAATTGTGTTGAAAAAAATTATAATGAAAAAGACTATTACAACCCTGAAATAAATTATGATTATAAAAATATCTTGGGTTCAATGTAGTTAACTTATATATATTGACTGCAAAAAATACAAACTCATATATATTTATATATATATATATATATATATATATATATATACGAATGTTATACTTACAATATATTTTCATTTAAAACATCTTACAAATTTTTTGGCGCAAATTATATTTAGTATGACCGGTCATACACTCTTGATTGAAGTATGACCGGTCATACTTAATGTAGTTTGTAAGAATTTATAAATAAAAAAATTTTAAATATAACATTTTCTGTATATATATATAGGGACATGTTATATTTACAAAATTTTTGCTTACAAACTACACTAAGTACGACCGGTCATACTTTAATCATGTAGTGTACGACCAGTCGTACTTAGTGTAATTTACAAAAAAAAATTTGTAAACGGATCCTATCTTATATATGAGCAGGTTATATTTACAAACTTTTTTGTTTACAAACTACACTATATTCTCCCGGGAGAATACAAACTTTTACAAACTATATTATGTTCTCCCGAGAGAATACAGTGTAAATTGTAAAATAATTCAAAAAAATTTGTAAACAGATCTTGTCCCATATATATATATATATATATATATATATATATATATATATATATATATATATATATATAAAGAAAGAAATAAAGGACTGTGTGTGAAAGGGAGCATCCTTTAGAAAGTTATAAAGACTTATAAGTCAACATATATAGAATGAAAAATACAGTTCCCAATAAAGGACTCGGATTCCCTCACCTGTTGCACCTTTCTATCAATAAAGCCCTTGAACTTGACCATAGGATTTGATCACTGAAATTCTTCCTGGGCCCCGTTGAGCTGGATCATTTTGTGAAAGAACTAATTTCGTTATCTGAGTTTGTTGGTTCCATGCACAGTTAAATTTGGTTTATTCATAGATGAAACATCAGATTACTTTTTGTATGATTACGTTTTAGATCTATGACTATGATTTTAAAGGCAACCATTTCTTTAACTTTTGGATAAAGCAGTATATTCCTCTTTTTCTTGGTTTCTTTAGTTAATAGATCGATTACCGTTACATGATGAGAAAAGTGCTTAGTTTGGAGGCTTTGATATGTAACTTTTTTTTCCTGTTGTATATCGAAATATATTTCTATATCGTGGTTTCGGAGACTTTTATTCATGTCAAGTTTTGCCCATGGCCACCTGTGTTGAAGTCTTCCATTATATATACATGTTTATGTTCGTGATTGGAGTACTAATGCTTAAATTGCTTGTTAGGGAATATTTGGTACAGTAGAAATTTTTATTTGTCCGGAAATCTCGATTTTCAAAAATATAATTTTTACATTCAGTTTACGATAATATCTGAAAATTTAAAATTTTAAAAATTTCAATTTTCCGAAAATCCGGAAATAATCGGTATACCAAACGACCCCTTATATTATTATTTGTACAGTTTTCTTAGTAGAATACTCTATATGGATGAGACCATGAAATATGCACTAGCCGATAAAGAACTAATTCATCGCTTAATTATGAGGTGAAAGTTACATAAATAATTTTATAATATATTTTTTAAGGAAAAATAATTTGTCATGTTACATAACAATAAACCATTTTTCTTACACACAATCTAAGCTGGGTTTCACTTTTGATTTTTTTCTCACTTTACTATTTAATGGACCCCACATATATCATGAGTGTGTAGGAAAATAATCTCTTGTCACGTAACATTATAAAAACAAAACCCATTTTTTAATATGTCTTATCACACAAGAGTTTATTAAACTTAAAAGATAAATAATATATAGCCTGTCTAGTGCTAAAAAAATTTATAATATTTAATTATTTATTTATAAAATGAAAACAATACGTAAGAATTGAACTCCATAGTCATGAACACTGTGAGATTTTTATATCATGCGTAAAGTCAATTCAACTTAAACACTTAAGTTATTAAATGAAGGTCATATTAATAATTTTATAATATATTTATGTAAGATCTTTGGCCTTGCAATATATTGAATGCGTTGGAGTACATTGCTAAATGTTGGAGTGTGAATGGGGATATATCCCTCCCCAAAAACAATACCTATATTTCTTGGTGGCTAATCTAAGTTTTTTGTCAGGTTCTCAAGTACCCAGTTCAGTTTTATACTTAGACTTTAGCTAAAGTTATACGTGCATTCATCATCAACAGAGTATGAGAGGTTTCTGCATGCCTGCTTGTCATACTTCTTGTGGTCCTGCAAAGATATAAATAAGAGAGAGAAACGAGCGAATTTCCTTATTCTAGATATGTGGATGCAAAATTGAAGTAGCTAGACGTTGACATTCATGAGTGATCCAATTATTCTAAAGCTATTTACGACATTCTCTTAGATTGTCCAGCCAATAAGGTAAAGGGTGCAAGAAGAAAGGAAGAATGAGAATCTAACACAACCTTTCACTTTTGTCACCATGTAATCCTCGAACATTTTCTTTGGATGAAATAAAAAGGTAAAAAGCGTAAGTTAAATTTATCTCAATGTCACCTATGATTCCTTTTATATATATATAGGCAAAATTAATTCTCATGTTGCACTCATCTCCTCTTACTCTCAATTCGTAAAATGTAACCAACTCTTTTTTTTTTTCAAAAAACTAATGGGACTCAATTTATTTCTATCTACAGAAAAAGTTGCTGATCTCCGGCCGCAGTAGAAATACAATGCCCATATATATATATATATATATATATATATATATATATATATATATATATATATATATATATTTCTGCAGTCACTTTAGATAAGGTTATTTACAGCTACCCTATTTTAAGTAAGTATGACCGGTCATACATTAAAATTGCATTTTCTCTCTTCGCCACATCAGCCGACAACGTCTGAGGAAAGAGAAAAAAAGAACAGCTTTATTGTTATAACTACGTATGACCGGTCATACTTAGTTAAAAAAAGATAGGTGTAAATATCTTTATCTAAAGTGATTGTAGAAATACTTTTTCCATATATATATATAGGGTTTACATTTCTACAGCAGATGTATGTGCAACAATCAAATACTTGCCATATATATACTTGAAAGCATTAAATGTGGGGAATCATAACCATCCAAAGGATGAAAGCATTAAATGCGGAAAATCATAACCATACACCTGTTGTTGCAGTACGTAAAGCGGCTGTAGAAATGATTTTACCATATATGTATATAAGGGTTTTCGTTTGTCATGCAACATAACATGGTAAAGTTTCCTACAGACACAATATTTCGTGGGGCACACAATTTATGAAAAAAAAGAAAAAAAAAATAAGCACGGAAAACGAATCTCTACAACATGCATGACATGGTAACTTTTCCTACAACATAACTCTTATAAAACTCATATATATATAAAGAATGAAAAGACAAATAAATGAAATTGGATTATGAATATATGGTCAAGATTAAAACATAAATTCATATGACTCTGTTAAGTTAAATTATGCGTTTGATCCTCCTAGTACTGTCTTTGGGAGGGGTTTAAATTTTAAAACCTTAATTCCAAGACCTGCTCTGAATCGGACTAGTTGTGAAACGATGAATCGATTGAAATATCTCCAAAAAAATTAAATAAGTAAATTATAACATTGATAATTGATAGAAATTGAATAATTAATATTAATTATTCTCATTAAAAAGATAATGAGCTCTTAATATGCTTCATATTGTTGTAAAACACAAATTTATGGATGACTTGAATTCTGAATTATGTGACTATTGGCACTAATGGTACAATTATCCGTCATTTATTTTTTGTAACCACTACACTAATAGAGTATCAATTTCTCATTTATGGTTGTATCCCTATATATACATGATGTTGTAAGATTCATAAATCCCGGATCATATATATGATTATAAAATACCAAATAATATGAAATTAAATTTGGGCACCTTGTTGGATCATCACAAGTCGAAGGAAAGAAGGGATTATATGTCAGGATATTCCTCTCCATAACCTATTCCAAATGTGGCAGCCTCAATGCGATGGGAGCATGACGGCTCATGGGGCTTAATCTCAATATAAATAGGCTAGAGAGGAGATCTAACCAACTGCCCTGAAAAGAGTTTGTATCCACTAGGTCTATTGTTGTCAAAAATTAGTCTAAAAACGTAGAAACGGTAGAAATACAGTGTAAAAACGTGTTAAAACACAAGTAGAAACGGTCTTTAGTAGAAACGGGTAAAAACGTCGTGTAGGAACGTAAAAACGATAGAAACACAAGTTTTTACGTTTTTTACCGTTTTTACTTAAACTCAATTGTTTTATAAATAAATAAAAAACTATTTTCCATTTTTTTAAATTCAATTTTCTCTTTTAATATTTTTGAACTTGTGTCTTATATAGTTATATGACTTAAATCTTTTAAATATGAAGTTATTAATTAAATTTTGAGTAGTGACTTATGTGATTTTTTTTACATGAATATATATATAATTTTGTATCTTGACCTTAAGTAG